CTACCTCCCACCGATAGAGATAAAGCTGCAGTAGGCTTGTGGTTTCGGCATTATATGGCTAAATCGATATATACGAGACGCTGCCTACCTGCATCCGCGTTATAAAAATGTCCATAAACAATTGGTAAGTTTATATACTTATAAATGAAAATGTTTGGTTAAGTAATTAGAATTCAATAATTTGCGTAGAAAGTGTTGTTTGAACAAATGTTTGGTTTCTGCAGGTTAATCTCAGAAGTGAACTGCGTGAAAATGATGTCGAGCTGCAAAAGTTGATTCAATAGTTTAATTGATTGTTTTTTGATTGTTTAATTGATTTGTAAAAGTTGATTCAATTTTTGATTGTTTAATTGATTTGTAAAAGATGATTTGTAAAAGTTGATTTGTGTAATTGATGCGAACATAATTCTTATTTGTGCTTGTTTAATTGATTGAAATGTAATGGTTGATTTTGTTGATTTCAATCTGCATTATGTTGAAGGCAAAAATGACTATCGCAATGCGAAATGAAAATCGCAATGCGAAATGAAAATCGCAACGAGAGAATCGCAATGCGAAATGAAAATCGCAATGCGGAAATGAAATCGCAATGCGTTTATAATTTCGCATTGCGATTATCTCGTTGCGATTTTCATTTCGCATTGCGATTTTCATTTCCGCATTGCGATTCTTTCGTTGCGATTTTCATTTCGCATTGCGATTTTCATTTCGCATTGCGATTTTCATTTCGTATTGCGATTTTAATTTCGCATTGCGATTATGTCGGTTCGATTTTCATTTCGCATTGCGATTTTCATTTCGCATTGCGATTCTCTCGTTGCGATTTCATTTCGCATTGCGATTTTCATTTCGCATTGCGATTCTCTCGTTGCGATTTTCATTTCCGCATTGCGATTTTCATGTTGGGATTTTCATTTCGCGTTGCGATTGTATTTTCCGTGTTGCGATAGTCAAATGCATGCCTAATAGTGATAACAACTGAATAACAAGAGTTGGTTAAGTCAAAATGGTTGGCCTGAGTCATTAATTCAACTGAAAATGTTAAAAGTTCACACATAAAATCCACATAATACAACGTTTGCATATGAGCTTTTGATGGCAACGTTTACATAATACACATAAAATGTTAAATGTTAAAACGTTTACATAATACAACTGAATAACAACGTTTACATAATACAAAGTTCACACCATATGAGCTTTGGATTTTGATGAGGATCCATATTTTGGTAGAGGAAAAGATGATTTTGATGGCACTGGTGATCCACATGTCAACCTTGTATGACCACTTTCCTTGCACCGACTACATGTCGATCTCTTCTTCTCTTCACCCTTAGACGGTATACGATCGTGACTTTTTGGTCGGCCAGGTAGCCTTCTGTCCATGGCTGGTGGCAAAACTGTTTGTAAGTCATCTGGTATGTCCCACTCAGAAGGATGTGGAATAGGGTAGACAATCTCGGCATAAGTCTGTCGATAAACTTCTGTAGTGTAGCAATCCATAGCGTATGCGCTTGAATCATCTTGGTTTAAATGAAGAGCAACTTTTATAACATGGCCACACGGATAACCAGATGTTTGCCATTTCATACAACTACACGTCTTTGCATTTAGATCGACTAGCCCATTTAAGTTATTATCCAGTACTTGAAACAAAGTGTTTGAACATGGTTCAACTCTCCATGACGTTGACTTCACAACACGTTTCGTTATCTTTTTTCAGTCCATGGTGTAACACGATGTTCCAATGTTCCTGTAAATTTAAATAAACAATACTTAGTAAAATATAAATATGATAAGTTACGAATTCAAAGAAATAATACCTGCATGGTTTCTTTTCTTGTAGTACCACTGTTGAATAGAGGCTCGAAAAAACTCCATTAACATAGTAATGGGTAATTTCCGGGAATGACGACTTAGAGCGTTGATTGATTCTGCACTATTAGACGTCATGAAACCATATCTTGCTCCAAGTTGATGTACTCTTGACCATCTTTCAAACCCGACATCTTCTAGTGTTTGAGCACACTGAGGCAAAACACGTCTTAAACAATTTATATGCTTATTGAAATCCACTTCCCGATAAGCTTTTACAGCCTTCCAGTATGTCCATTTGTGCTTTTTTATACCAGCAGACCTTGATTTTAGATTTCTATACAAATGAACACCACAAAGTCCATGAAAAGCATCTGGGAAACACCTTCTAACAGCGTTGTCAATTGAGTTTGCCCTATCGGATATGATTGTCAGATTGCTAATAGGACCTATGCAATCCCTAAGATGCCCCATAAACCATGTCCATGAATCAGAGGTTTCAGATTTGCCAACCCCGTAAGCTATTGGCAATATCCCATTGTTAGCATCCATGGCTACTGCTAATAAGTTTACTCCAAGGTATCGACCTTTCAAATGTGCTCCGTCAACTATAATAACTGGGCGCATGCAAGTAATAAACGAACGAATCTACAAAATAATATACACAAGAAATATAATCATTTAAATGTGAAATGCATGTAACTAACAAAAATGAGTCAACAAAATTATATTGATTTACTAACCGTAGCACCAATGGCGATAAACAGCAACTCAAAGCGTCCATCTCTATCTGTTTTGATATGAGTTACCGACCCAGGATTTTCAGCTTTAAATTGTGACAATAAGCCGGCAGTTGGGCAAACGATGCTTCTGGCGACCCCCTCAACAATTCCAAGGCATAACATTTGGCTCTCCAAGCTTGAGAATATGATATACTAATCTTGAACCGAGCATTCATGTCAGTCATAATTTCATGTCCCCGATATACCCTGCCATTCAAAAACATTAACTCAGCCAGAAAACCACCCAACACCTTTTTGTTTGCCTGTCTATGGTGAGGAAAAACTTGGGTTCTTGAACATGTATGTTTATCAATAAAAGTCCTAACTTGAAACATTTTGCAATCTTTTATTCTCTTTGCAATCATACGCCACGTACAGTTTTGTCAATCATACACCTTGTTTCGAAACGATCTTTGCTTGATTTGTTAACTTTTAGTTGATAGCCATCTTCCACACATTTCGTATATAAAGCTATCTTCAAGTCTTCCTTTGTATCAAAACAATCATCTTCTTGATACGAATAACTTTTGTGTAACAATCAACTGCTTTCTTTATCAACTCTTCTTCCGGTATCTGAAGTAATTCTGGCATATTCCAGTTATACGCCCGTGGCATTTTCTTTTCTTCGGGGACTTTTTCTTCTTCTTTTTCTTCTTCAGGATTATATGAATTACAGAATGGATGTTCAACATGTTCATTCATAGTCGTAACTTCCTCCTCATTATCATCAACATTACATTCTTCGGCAACGGCTGTTTCATCATCAAAATTCGGGTATTGACCAATATCAATATCATTACACGCATGGTCTGTTTCTTCTTCTGAAACATCATCAAAATCCGTGTATTGACCAATATCAAAGTCCGGATATTGACCAAGACCAAATTTCGAATACTGACTAGTACTCACAATTTTTTCTGTTGGCTCATCATCGTCTAACTGGTCAATACGAAAACCGGAATTTGGTGCTGAAAGTTGATTGGGATTTGGATTAGAGAAAGGTTGTGGGTTTTGAGAAAAACTTAGTTGATTACTACCCGCTACTGACCCAACAATACTACTTCTAGGTTCAACAACATACAATGTAACATCATCTTGTGAAACACTAATGTAAGCAATGAATCGTTCAACATCTTCATTGTCGGTTAACAAATAAACTTTACCATTTCTCTGATAAGATAGCCTAAATCCACTTAGGGGCTCTAAATTCAATTTATTTGAAACACGTAGCATTAGAGTTTCATAAGTTAACTTTTGTAAAGACAATTTTAGTTGAAGATTTATGGGTAAAGGCATATATTGTAAAACACCATTAACATTATCCCATGACCCTCCAAAACACAAATCTATCCAAACATGATCAACATTAGATGATTTCATGGTTGTAACTAAACAAACGAGATGCGAAACTAAGACCTGTTGCCGGATGGGGAAGGATGTCGTTGGATATAGGAACGGATGTCGCCGGAGAGAGTGATAGATGGAGATGGAATGAGTTGCGATTTAGGGATTTAGTTTATGATTTCAGTGTTATATACCCAAAATTTCAGTGTTGTGATTTACAGATTCTCGTTGCGATTTACGGATTATCGTTGCGATTTACAGATTCTCGTTGCGATTTACGGATTATCGTTGCGATTTACGGATACGCGTTGCGATTTACGGATTATCGTTGCGATTTACGGATACGCGTTGCGATTTACGGATACGCATTGCGATTTACGGATACGCGTTGCGATTTACGGATACACGTTGCGGTTTACGGATACGCGTTGCGATTTACGGATACGCGTTGCGATATACGGATACGCATTGCGATTTACCCATACGCGTTGCGATTTACGGATACACGTTGCGATTTACGGATACGCGTTGCGATTTATGTGTTCGCGTTGCGATTTTCATATTCGCGTTGCGATTATGGAAAATCGCAATGCGAATTTGTACTATCGCATCGCGATTTTCAAGAATCGCGTTGCGATTCTGGAAACTGATTTGCGATTCTGGGGATCGCGTTGCGATTTTTATTTCGCGTTGCGATTTTGTTGGTCATTTTGGCAAATCCAAAAAAAGTTGGTTAAAATCGTATATTATAACTTTTTTTTGGTCACTGAGGCGATTTTCTCTTTGTATTTTTGTCAAACGCGTCTCTAGCTGTTTCCATCTTGATTTTTCATTTTTGTTTTTATTTTGGTAATATCTTCAGTTACGGTTTTGATTGGTTAAAACTTCCTGTGATTATAACTGCGGAAGAGGCTTTAAGTTCATGAACAATGACAGCCATGATTAAAGGCGCAGTGGTTGGTTAATTTGCCATGATTAAGGGAAGAAAATAATACAACGAACAATGCTGATTATGTTCCAGAAATGGCAATCACGACATTATTAAAGGAAAGCCAGCACGAAACAGCAAAACTACCCCCATTGCCTGCAAATTGGAATTCCCTCTATATAATTTCAAATTCTCAAGACTCAAACTCATCAAAAATTCTTTCTTTGAGTTTGTTTGTTCATGATTGAAGAAGATGAAGTTTGGGAAGGAATTTGCAGCACAGATGGTGCAAGAATGGCAGGAAGCTTACATGGATTACAGTAAACTCAAATCGATATTGAAAGACATCTTGAAATTCAAGAAACAAAACAGGCCACCATCGACAATGGCAACAGCAACGAGAAAGGGTTCATTGAAGAGAAGAGCAACGCTTTACAGGGCATTTAGTGGACTCACAAGTCGGTATAAGTCAGCTTCTTCAATGAATAACCATGAGGACGAAGTTATAATAGTGAGTGCAGTTGAAGAAGGAGGGGTTGAAGGGGATTACCAGACAATGTTTCTTAGGTCAGGTGAAGAAGGAGGTGAGTTTGAGATGCTTTTCTTCAGGAGACTTGATGATGAGTTCAATAAGGTTGTTAAGTTTTATAAGAAAAAGGTTGAAGAAACTATGGTGGAAGCTGATGAGTTGAGTAAGCAAATGAATGCTTTGATTGCTCTAAGGATTAAGGTTGATAATCCACTTGTGGGAGGAACTGATATGGTTGATCTTGCTGATAATGGGTTTTCTTCAAATTCCTCTTCCATCAATGGGGAAAAGCATGGTAAGGACAGAATCTGGGTTTCTGATTTTCTTTGACAATTCCAATATGAAAAAATCTGGGTTTCTTGCAAAATGATATGAAAGTTACAATTTTGGTTTATGTTGAAAGAATCCCGAGTTTCCTGATGTAAAAAACCTGGGTTTCTTCTGAAATGGTCTGAAAGTTTCAACTTTTCTTTATTGTAAAGAATCCATCAAGTTTTGTGATGTTCTCAATCTGTTTTTGGATATGTAGGACGGACTCATATGGATGCTATCCAGGAAATTGAGATGAGCAGTGATAGAATTTCTAAAGAAGGAATGAAGGAAGCTGCTGATAGAGAGTTTAGACCAGCTCCAGTACATGTTTTGGATCATGTAAAGATCAATGTCGAGCTTGAAACTCCTATAGAAATACTAAGAAGTGTAATCAAATGTTCGAAATCGGATTTGTCCTTCAGCAGGCAAGAACTGAGGACTGCAGAGGAGAAAATCTCTCAAGCTTTTATTGAATTCTATAGAAAGCTTAGGCTTTTGAAAAGTTACTGGTACCATACCTTCCTCTGTTCATTAGAAAAACTATAAACAAATGAAAATGTCTATTTTTATAGTTAATCATCTCTGTGTTTGATCACCAGCTTCTTGAATCAGTTGGCATTTTCCAAGATCATGAAGAAATATGACAAGGTCTAATCCCTTTTCACTTTCTATATCCAAATCAACTAAAATTAACGAGGATCATGGCTTGTTTGTATTGATTTTCTGGTTCATTCTACTGCAGGTTTCATTGCGAAATGCATCGAAAGCTTACATGCAAATGGTTGACAAATCTTATCTTGGTAGTTCTGATGAGGTTAGAAATGGCCTAATAGGAACTTGTTTACCTCAGTTCAATTGAATTTGCCTTTGTCCCTAAATTTGCCACATTCAACGACAGGTTACAAAGCTTTTGCAAGGGGTTGAGGAGACTTATGTTAAACACTTTGCTAATGGAAATCATAGAAAGGGACTCAAAACTCTAAGGCCACAAGCTAGGAAAGAAAGACATAGAATTACATTTCTCTATGGTAAAGAGTTTGTCTCATTTCAAAGCATCTTTCTTGAACAAATTATTACAGATTATATCAGTTTGTCTGAAGAAGAAAAAGGGTTTCTTAGGGCTGTTGAGTTCGCATCTCATTTACTTGTTTTTAACTGATAGTTTCTCTTCACTTTCAGGTTTCTTTTCTGGTTGCTCCATTGCACTTATAGTGGCAATTATCGTGAATATACATGCTAGAAATATTCTTAAGAGTCAGGGCAGAGATAAATACATGGTCAACGTATTTCCACTTTACAGGTAAGAGTCTTTGTTGCTCGAACTCTTTCTTTTTATAGGGTAAAGTCACTTAAATATTAACTGATTTTAGCCCTTCGTTCTTGAACTAAAGGGCTCCTACTGAACTCGGTGAAAATATTGATGTTTCTGGTTCATTTTTTTTTCAGCCTGTTTGGTTACATTGTCTTGCATATGCTCATGTGTGCTGGAAACATATTCTTTTGGAAGCGTTATCGAGTCAACTATTCGTTCATTTTCGGTTTCAAGCAAGGAACGGAGTTGGGATATAGAGAAGTACTTCTTCTTAGCAGTGGTCTTTCACTGCTTGCATTAGCTGGTGTGATCTCACATTTGGATATGGAGATGGACCCAAGAACTAAAAGCTTCAGAACTTTAACTGAACTAATTCCCTTGTTCTTGCTCATTGTAAGTCCTATATAAAACACATTCTGTTTTCCTGTAGTTTCTCTCTGTGATACTCATATTCGGGTTGAAGTATGGAATATGAATTATATATCTAACTTTTCAATTTTCTTAAAGCATCTGTGTTGGATACTTGTGCCCAATGCATACCGATAATGAGTCCCAGCGACATAGTTCTCTACGATGATTTTCTCATTGAAATTCTATTTGAAAATGAACTTGTGGTTTGAAAAGCCTTTCTGTGCCATGCTCACCGGTTTTCCTATTTTGCAGGTTGTCCTTTCAATAACATTCTGCCCTTTTAATATCATATACCGTTCGAGTCGATTCTTTCTTATCAGATGTGCATTTCACTGTGTTTGTGCACCTCTTTACAAGGTAAACAAGCCTTCAAATAAAATGATTATCTTGTATGAGAAAAGTGGTTCAAAAAGAAAGATATTAATCTCCATATTCCATCATGAAGGTCACTCTCCCGGACTTTTTCTTGGCAGATCAGCTTACTAGCCAGGTTCGATATTCGAGTCAACCTATATTGTTCCAACTCTTCATTTTTCTTGAAATATTTGCATCATATACCCTTGTTCCTAAAACACATGTTGTGCCTTCAACCTGGTTTGTTTTATGATAAAATCCATTGATGCTCCATACCAGGTTCAAGCAATTAGAAGTTTGGAGTTCTACATTTGCTACTATGGTTGGGGAAACTTCAGAGTGAGATCAAATACCTGTGAGGAAAGGGAAGTTTATAAAGTACTTTACATAGTCGTTGCCATTATTCCGTATTGGATCCGTTTCGTTCAGGTAAATCGAAACTCGAGTTTGAGTAAGATAGGTGAAATCGTTCTTTCATCATTGAACTTGTTCTGGGTTTTCTTTACTGATGTTTTGTATTTATCTGTTAGTGTCTTAGACGTTTGTTTGAAGAAAAAGATACCATGCATGGTCTCAATGGTCTAAAATACTTCTCAACAATAGTTGCGGTTGGGACTCGAACAATTTACCAACACCAGGCTGAGAAAACTACAACTTGGCTGGTCTTGGCTGCTGCAACTTCTGGCATTGCAACATTGGCTAGCTTATACTGGGACATTGTCATAGATTGGGGTCTTCTTAACAGGAACTCAACCAACCCTTGGCTCCGAGATAAGCTTGTTGTACCGCACAAAGGGGTATATTTCGTAGCCATGGTAAGCATTCATGTTACTCGTTTTCAGGTCACACATTTCTGCAATAATGGGTTCGGGTCATCCATGCATACCCCTGAACCAGTTGGTTGATGCAGTCACACCTAAGACTCGGCATTCGGTTTGGAATTCGAGTATTGAATCTGCAATCCTTGGTTTATTCACAAACTCGGATTGTGTTTTATACCGAGTTGGGGTGTACATTTGCAGGTGTTGAACTGTGTATTGAGACTGGCTTGGATGCAGCAAGTGTTGGGCATTCAAACAGTGCCGTTCCTGCATAAGACAGCCTTGGTTGCAGCAGTGGCTGGCTTGGAGATCATTCGTCGAGGCATTTGGAATTTCTTCAGGTAATGCATTCGAATACCGAAACATGGGATTTGAACAAATCAGAGTTTCTTACATGGGGTTTAAACAGGTTGGAGAATGAGCATTTGAACAATGTTGGAAAATACAGAGCATTCAAATCGGTGCCCTTGCCGTTTTACTATGATAAAAATGGAGATAAGAGCATATAATAGTCAATGATAATTACATATTAGATTACCTTTATTTGTGTACTATTTTTTTTTTTGTTGGAAATGGGATGAGGCACTAGGTCCCTTAACCAAGGTCGAATTTTGGTGTTTGTGAATGGAGCAAAATGGGTTGGGAGGGTCGCCTTCGCCTCTGCAGTACCCGAATTGGATTAGTCGGTCAATAGATCGGATACCAATGATTAATTAAAAAAAAGCAAAAACAAATACACATATATTAGCCAACTGAATATTATGTTATATACACACTGCGTTTATGTTCTCGATACTTTCTCCATTTTCAATGGTTTTTAACTTTTAATATAACATTTTTTTTTAAATATCAACCCAATCTTGTAAATTTCGACTAATTCAGTTGATATTCAAATTAACCAATATTTATTATAAATTTTTCTAATGAAAACCATTTGTATTTAATTTAAGGGTAAAGTACACAAATGATTCCCGATTAGTAAAAGTTACAAAATGGTCGTTCGATTATAAAGTGTTACTTTGTTAAGTATTTCTACTATTAAAAGTTACAAAATGATCACTTGATTGTTTATTTTGTTCCAAACTCATCATTTTTCATTAAAATATTGGCGGTTGTCTAAATGGAGGTTAACATGATGGCTGAGATATGATAGTCGTTTGAGATTCTGAGATCAAATTTTATCATATCACAGTCAGCAGATCAACGATCAGCTCAGAATACCGTTAATTTTTTTAACAAAAAATGATGAGTTTTGAACATTGAAGATGTTGTATTGGTACCTAGAATATTGATATAGGTGTAAATGACTATCCCTTGTGTGATATTTGAAGATTTGATAAATCATGTTAAGAAGTGCTAATATATAAATTAGGTAGATTGCTTAATATAGTTAGATGAGTATTAACAAGGTGTTAAATGAATTGTATAAATTTGGAATAACTTGATAAATTATTGTATGTGAGATATTTGAAGATTTGATAAATCATATTAAGAAGCACTAATGTGTAAATTAGGGGTTGCTTAAAATGACTAAATAAGTGATAACTAGGTGGTAAATGAATTACATTAACTTGAAACAAATTAATAACATCATGTATTATGATATGTATACGATCTTGATGCATGTTGATTATATTTCTATATCGAACTAAGTCCATATGAGTTGTTAGCGGCTTCGTTTGGGAATACTTCTTCAAATGAGTTTTTATCTAGTCTTTTCCATGCAAAAATACCGTTTTTAATCATTTTTAAAATATAAATTTTTAACTGAAAATGAATTATTTGAGAATAATCTTGTGTTTCAAACGAAATTTTAGGCTAAAAACACATCAATAAGCATTCTCAAACAGTCCCTAGTGATTAAAGAAGCTTTTATTTTTGTAGACTAAGGAGAAACAAAATGTGTTTTAAGATATTGATAGTTTTGAAACTTTCATACTGTAATTTGTAGATTTTATATTTTAAATCCATTTTGATGACTTTAAGTGTTATTTAATCTTTATATTTGACATAGCTGATAATTTAGTCCCTAAATCAGTGGTTGATGATTATTTGATTATTCAATTATTTGTTTTAGTTTTTATTTGATTGTGACTAAGTTTTGATTAGTCAAATTAATATATTTGATCTAATATTTAATTTAGTTTTTGATTGTCTAATTTAATCTTAAAAATACAAATAAAAATTAAATCAAAATCGTCGATATACCATAATCAATAATAACTACCGAGGATTTTAAATGTTGTCAAATCATCATAAATCTCTAAATATATTATAGATATGCATAAATATTTGGTTTAATGTAAAAATAAGTGTCTAAACTATACTCTAAGTTAATTTTAGGTGCCTAAAATATTTTTCGTTCAAAGTATGTGTCTAGCATTTACAATGTTACACTTTTAAGAGCCTACATTTTAGTGGTCGTTAACAAAATCATTAACTGTCACGTGTCATGTTTATATTTTCCTTATTTTTTAATGGGTAAAGTAAACCAATAGTTATTAATGTTTGAGTAAGTTTTTTGTTTTCCCCATTGAAGTTTCAAAAGTAACAAATTGGTTACTAACATTATCGATTTGTAACAAAATGGTAACTAACGTTATCGATTTGTAACAAAATAGTTACTCCACTATTATCTCTAATAAATTAATGGTGTGGCAATGTAAATAAAAAGGTTAATATTTAATTTTACCCTAACTATTGCTAAAACATCAAATAAGTTCTTAAACAATGATTTTATATCTAATTTATCCCAAAAGTTTTCTAATTTATAATTTTTAAACGCCTCACCACCAAACTATATTCAAACCACCTTCCTTACCAAACAAAAACCATATTGCATTGATAAGTGGAGTTTTTCCATTAAAGAAAAATACTTGAGTATTTAAAGTCATATATTTAATTAATTTTAATGTAAAAAATAATGCTTCTAGGATTGTTTTTGTATAGTAAGGAAAGTGGTTAGAATATTTAAAGACAAGTGATAGTTTGTTTAAGTGTGGTTTGCATTTTGTAGGGAAAGTGGTTAGAATATAATTGAGATAATAGAGTGTTTAAAAAATATGAAAATTAGAAGACTTTTGGGATAAATTAGAATTTTTATATTAATATGGGATAAGTACAATGCAGTATCTTTTCAAAGATAACTCTCAACTATTTGACATTGAAGGCTCACACCCCTGACATTCTTGGTGCTCAAACTCAAGACCTCAAAGAATAACAACTATTCCTTTACCACTGAGGTCGTTTGGTTCGTGCGGGATAAATTAGATATAAAATCATTGTTTAAGGACCTATTTGATGTTTTAGCAATATTTTAGGGGTAAAACTAAATATTAACATTTTTATTAACGGTGCCACATCATCAATTTAACAGAGATAATGGTGGAGTGACCATTTTGTTATAAATCGATAATGGTAGTGACCATTTTATTACAACTCGATAACGTTAGTGACTAATTTATTATTTTTAAAACTTTAGTGAAGACAATGAAAAATTTACTCAAACATTAGTGACCAATGGTGTAATACACCTTTTTTACTTTTTTAAAAATATTATTTTAAAAAATCCATTTTTTCTAAAATCTAAAAAAATTTCCTAAACATGATAACTTACTTGTTTAGTACTTAAACTATTAGTTTTGATTCATTTTAATACCTAAACTATCAATTTTGATCCGTTTTAGTACCTAAACTTTTATTTTTTTTAAACCGACTATAATCGAGTTCCATGGATCTTTCTGTCGATGTTAAGAGCGACAACGGTGGCAACCGATGATAGTAAAAAGGGTTTAGTGTTTAAGTATTTTAAGGGTTTTTTTATTTTTTTAAAAAAGAGTTTTCTAATAAAAATGATATATTTTTATTTTTTAAATAAAAATTTAAAATAAATATAATTATGTCATGGGTCAAATAATATTTTTGTAAGGATCATTACAATGTACGTATTTAAAATTATAACAGAAAATTTATTAGACACTTACATTAAACGAAAAATTCTTTAAATAACTAGTGTTAACTTTAAATATAATTTATACACTTATTTTTTCACCTAAATATTTCCCTAACTTTTTAGCCATTTTCCCTAAATTTCTCTATTTATTAACGTTATATATCATATATATATATACATATATTTAAAATTGATAAAATTGGTCCAATATTCAAGCGGATTAATTACACAGTGTAAAACTCTTTTAGTTTTGCATCTTTTTAAAACCATTTGATTGAGGACTATCAAAGGTTGAGATTAACTCCTTATTTTTTCAATGAATATCTTCTTATTTTTTTACTGTTAATTTAATCCAATGATCTTAAAAATGTGCAAAACTAAAAGAATTTTACATAGTTTAATTGAATCTTGTCTCATAAATATATTTAAAATTGATAAAATTGGGCCAATAATCCAAGCGGATTAATTATTTGACCTAATAGGTCAACCCAAATATTATTTTGAGAAATAAAACATCTGTTGTAGTGCATGGCGAACTCGTCATGCCCACATGGCGAGTTTTCTCTTATATTATATTTTAATGGATCCAAGTCTGTGATCCTATGAGGTCTAATGTTTAGTATATTTTCTAAAACTCGTCATGCTCACATGGCGAGTTCCATTAAATTATATATATATATATATATATATATATATAATTTAAAATAATACAATATAAAATAATTATATATATATATATACTAAAACTCATGGGACTCGTCATGCCCACAAAGGTATTTCCATTTGAATTTAAAAAATGTAGTCGTTAAGTAAACGTTGGACAACAGACATATTTTTTTTATATCCAACTGGAACTCGTCATGTGGACATGACGAGTACCATGAATTTCAAAAAAAATTATTTTCATGTTTATATCATTTAAAAAAATACTTAAGTAGTAATTAAAAATAAATATTAAAATTTGAAAATTTAATAATTTTATTTATTTTGTAAATACTTTATTATAAACTAATAATTAAAAAATAAAAACAATCACCAATAATAATAAAATTTACTTATATTTCTTTGTGGTCGTCTGTCTTCATCTTCACCTTTATCATGCTCTTCAATGTTTGCTTCTTGTTGAACTAGTGTACTGTACATCAATTCACCGCCTTGATTTACACCTTTGGATGATAATGATGGAGTATTTAAAATATTTAATGTCGTCACTGACTCAAAATGCACACCAAAATCAATAGATGATTGAGCATATAGAAAAAAATATCATATATACATATATTCTCTCGAAGGTGGTTGAGAGGGTGGTGTTACATTTCATTCCGGTCGGCTCTTCATTGAAGTAGATATGGAGGATATACACCATAACTTGCTTGAGATACAAAATAATCTGTAGAAGAAGGAGAAGAAGAAGAAGAAGAAGAAGAAGAAAAAGAATGAGAAAAAGAATGAGAAAAAGAATAAGAAGAAGTAGTAGTAGTAGTAGTAGTAGTAATAGAAGAAGAAGAAGAAGAAGAAGAAGAAGAAGTTTCCCTTGATGATGATTTCTTGTCATATTTTACCTTCATTTCTTCTCATTCGACCTTATCTCACGGCGTTGTTAAATATGATTTATCATTTGCTTCATAATTTTGGAGGTAGGGAAATCAAGATAATCTGGTACAAGGTTTGAATA